ACACACACACACACACACACACACACACACACACACACACACACGCATACCTGCGCGCGCGCGCGAAAAAAAGACAAAAAGAAAGTGCCATCGTATACTTCGATCTTTTAGGGGAAGATTCATTCCGATTTTGCTCATCGTATCGATGGAAGTAGCATGGCTGGAAAGCAGTGTATATTTCTCTCTCTCTCTACACACACACACACACACACACACACACACACACACACACACACATGCGCGCACGCGCGAAAAAAAGATAAAAAAAAACTGCCAGCGTATATTTCTTCCTTTCTCACCCCCCTCCTTCTTACGTTCGCCATGGCCATGCATGCACACGCGCACCTCACAGTTTCACCCACCTGCGCGCTATCGCCCCTCGGCAGCACGTTCCCCATCAACATGCATCGACACGCGCCTGCCGTATCGCACGCCCGCTATCGCCCTAGCGCTACCCGCTATCGCCCGCCTGCGCGCCAACAATATCGTGGGCCTCTCGCGTCAACATTTGCTGTCGCACTGCGCCCCTCCGCCGTGCTCCGCCGTCCGCTATCCCCCACCCGCGCGCCAGCAATTTCGCGGGCCTCTCCTCCGCTGAGACCTGGACCCCGCGGTCCCGCTGCCCAATTTCGGCCTCCTCCGAATTTCGCTGGGCCCGCGACAGGGCATGTCGTCGGGCCCTCTCCATCCTTTAGTATGTATAGAGAAATAAATGCTGCCTCAAATCGAACCCTGTGGACCCAAAGGCTGGCCATGGGCCTCCAGGGCGCATGCCTGAATGGCGTGCGGCCTGGGGGCCCCCAGCAACCATCAGGCTCCCGAAACGGGGCCCGTGTGCAGGCTCAGCATGTAACAGTAGCTTTGACTCAGGTGCCACCATGGCTCTTATGTTTGCGCCCACCCGGCTCTTGTGCCTCTTCTGTCTTCGCCCGAACTCAACACAGCTGAATCTTGAATGAATACAACCAGTAAATCCGGCCAGATCAGGGCAGGTTGTGTTAAAGAGGAGGACATGTGCCACCCTGGCTCTTCTGTTTGCGCCCACCCTGCTCTTGTGCTGATCTTGAATGAATACCAGTAAATCCGGCCAGATCGATTCATGCTCAGGGTGTGTTGTGTTCGGGGGAAGACGGTAGAGGCACAAGAGCCACCCTGGCTCTTGTGCTTTTGCCCACCGTCTTGTGCCTCTACCGCCTTCCCCTGAACACAATACAGCCGAATCGTGAATGAATATAACCAGTAACTCTGGCCAGATGAACTCATGCTCGGGGTGTGTTGTATTCGGGGGAAGACGGTATCCCCACCCGGCCCCTGTTCACGGTGTGTGGTATTTGAGGGAACACAGTAGCTGGCTCTTGCGCTTACCATGCTGTTTTCAAAAGAAAGCGGCATTGGTCCCTGCTTCACTACACAACATTTTTAATGTATATAGACCTGACAGGTGGTCCCGATACATCCAAAATGTCTGGTCGGTCCTCACAAATCTGGTCCCTTCTTTCCCATCCAGAGAAATTTTGAAGGCTGCAAAGGGTGGAGCGAGGCGAGGCGCGTTTTCTATCTTCAGAGAAAGGAATGAGGGAAAAAAGTGGAGAGTCTGGCCACCCCATCTACCGTCGCATTCACACCTGGAGCCACCCATGTACCAGCTCTTTCACTTATACAGGGTGAGTTTCTCTACTGAACTTGGTCCTAAATAATAGCAGATACATCCAGGAAAGCCCTAGCGTTTGTCCATATATGCCTGCCTCACCTGCTGCTCTGTAACTTTGTTGACAGGCCGCTTGCTTGCTTCCTTGTCCGAGGCCAATATCTCATGGAATGGCTGAAGAGCAGCTGCTAAACTCCGGTACCTGGGCAGTTGCGGCAGGGAATGCGGATTCTTAACCTGAGAGTCCAAAACAAACAGACAAATAGACATAAAATAACAACAGATGAACAGAATGTGCCGAGCTGGCAAGTAACCCAAACAAAGCCTGAACCAATTTGTAAATGCCAGCAGATTGTAAACTGCCAACCAAACCTGGTTCAGTTTGTAAACCGCCAACGGAACCGTATTCAGTTTGTAAAACCCCAACCAAACCAGGTGTAGTCTGTAAAGCGGCCAACCAAACCTCGCTCAGTTTTGTAGACCTGCCAACCAAACCTCGCTCAGTTTTGTAGACCTGCCAACCAAACCTCGCTCAGTTTTGTAGACCTGCCAACCAAACCTTTTTCAGTATGTAAACCTGCCAACCAAACCTGTTTCAGTATGTAAACCTGCCAACCAAACCTTTTTCAGTATGTAAACCTGCCAACCACACCTGGTTCATTTGAAAACCTGCCAACCCCACGTGGTTAGTCTGTAAAGAAGTAGATAATCGAGGGGTTGTACCAGCCAAAACTCATTTACGTATGATTATAACATCTGCTGCCAACCAGACCTGGTTCAGTTTGTAAACCTGCAAACCAAACATGGTTCAGTTTGTGAACTGCCAGTTTACAAACCCATCCAAATTGTCAACTGCCACGTCACAAACCCAATCACAAGTTCGTAAACTGCCCGCCGCCAGTTTGTAAACCAGCCAATTGAACCTGTTTCAGTTTGTAAACCTGCAAATTAAACCTGGTTCAGCTCGTAAATTGCCAAACACACCTGGTTCAGTTTCTAAACTGCGAGTTTACAAATCTGATCGAGCATGTAAACTGCCGGCCGCGTTTTCTTTTGTCACTCTCCACAATCTACTAAAACAAAGTGTATACTCACAGTACGACCTTCACGGGAACGTATCTGACCCTTATGGCGACCAGATTCAGGAAAAAAAGGTACCACTGTACGCTGCCAACCATTTTTTTTTATTTGCCCACACCAGGTGTACGAAGCTTGGGTGCTGTTTTCCGGCCAGAGCAGAGTTAGGAGGAAGCTGCGGTGCTTAGTCACGGGAGGATGTCCGTTCCAAACCATAACTCTTAGGGCACCCAGCATGTGTGCATAGATAGACTGCAACAACAAAAAAAAATTCACAAACTGAACTAGGTAGTGTGAGGCATATGAGTGAAGAATATGCCTAAGTTTTATAACTTTTATTAAAAAAAAAAGGAAAAAAAAAAGAGGGCTAGTAGGTTAGGTAGTGTGAGGCATATGAATGAAGAATATACCTTAGTTTTAAAACTTTTATTAAAAAAAAAAAAAAAAGGACTGGAAATGGGCAAGAAATTGCACTGACGCTCCCCCAAATTGATAAGGCGGTGAGATAAAAAGGACCTGTTTAATAAAAGAAAAAGAAAAGTTTAAAAACAAACCACCGAAAAAAAAAAACGTTTGCTGGAAATTATTAAAGCTTTGTCATGAGAGCGAAAAGGTGCCCTTCATTACACGTAGAGAAGCACGGATCAGAGACCCAGCTCAGCATTGGCTGCCCCCAGTTGGAGGCCCAGCTCAGCATCGGCCGCCCCCACTTGGAGGCCCAGCTCAGCATTTTGCGCCTGATTAACAGAAGTGAAGACTGTACCCATCGCTCATCTAGTTTCATCAGCTTTCGAACTCGTCATCAGCTGTGTTTACAAAACTGACAGTATTTGTAGAACTTTGTATCAGTCACTGCAGTTAGCCCTTTTTTTTTTTTTTTCCTTTTTTTTTTTTTTCAGGTGGCCCATCATTTCTGGGGTGCGTCAGTGCGGTTATCACTGGCAAGCATTCTGGCATGTTTTTAATGTTCAGGATTTTGGCACATGGTCTGTCGGGACATCTGTTAAAAATGGAACGGCGCAGAGAAGAAGATTAGCATGGACCTGAAAAAAGTGCATTTTGGCACATGTGATTGTTGGCACATGATTAACAGAAGCGCAAACCGCACCCATTGCTCATCTGATTGCACCAGGATTCGAACTCATGATCTGTTTACTATACTGGCAGTTACATGTGGCTGCACGTCAGCATTCTGGCATCTGTGTACCGTTCAGGACATCCCTTAAAATTGGAACAATACAGAGAGAGAGAAGATTCGGCATGGCCCTCTGCGCAAGGATGGCATGCAAAATCTAGCAACATTCCAAATATATTGAATGAATTAAACACCAAAAAAAAAAAAAAAAAAGACGTGAACGTCGTGAAGAGCATTCATTCACACGTGGCTGCAGACCATACTCATTGCTCATCCGATTCCATCAGGATTCCAACTCATGATCTGTGTACTATACTGACAGTTACATGTGTGTACCGGTCCGCACTTTCGCATGTGTTGGTCCCGTTCAGGATTTTGCAACACAATTAGCAGAAGTGAAGGCCTTCAAAAAGAGGGGGGGGGGAGGGGGAGGGGAGAAGAAGAAGTGGAGGCCACTTGCAAAGAAGAAGGAGAAGAAGAAGCGGAAGGCCTCTGGCACATGACTAAACGAAGTGACGACCGTGCCACTTGCTCATCTGATTGCACCAGGATTCAAACTCATGATCTGTTTACTATAGAGTGACGGTGACACATGTGTACTGGTCAGCATATTTTGGCACATGATTTACAGAAGGGCAGACCATACAGCTAGCTCAAATGGCTGAGAGGTACGCGCATGTTTCCGCATATGTGTGCCATGTGTCTGCTGTGGAAGAATAAGTTTATCGATAGGATGTGCGTTCCTTCTTTTTTCCTTGTCCCATGACGTGTGATGACAAGCGATTGAAATTTTTGAAAATAGGCTCCACCTCTTAAACCACTAGCACCTCTGAGCCTGTTTTTGCCGAGCCTAGATTTCACTGCACTCCAAGTTGGTACACCCTGGGTCCCACTCCATTTTCGTTTCTCGTACTCTCACGGAAAGAACAAAAAGAGAAGAAGGGGGGAAAAAAAAGGAAACACGGATTCACCCGTGAAAATGGCTGGATACACTGGACTGAAGAGCATTGCCGATAGAGGGTTGTCAATAGAGAGGGCAACCGCCGCAGGTTGCGGACAAAAAGGCTCACTGCAAAGATCCGGCGGCGATCGGAGAGCAGCTTTCAAGACGCGCCTTCGGCCCTCGCATTCGTCGGCGACGACAACGACCAAGACCCCTGATGATGGCTGGTTGGTCGGCCAGCCGAAACTAGATGGTCATAACCGCTGGGCCTTCATGTTATATTTTTAACGAAAGTCGCATTCAGGAGTTTTTTCCATTTGCGTATTATCCTTGTGTCTCTGCTATCTTTGCGTCATTTTCCATGCTTCTTTAGACTCTTTTTCCCTTCTTTTATCTCACTTTCTCTGCTCCCCCAGGCCACGTTTCGGCTCAGTCTGCTACTGCTCTGTTGTCTTGGTCTTTTTTTGGTTGATGTCATGTGATGATTAGCAACAAAGTTGTTTGCTGATACCCACACTACTACAGGTTGTCAGATTCCAGAAAGACAAAGAAGGGGGAAAAAAAGGAAACACGGATTCGGCCGTGAAAATGGCTGGATACATTCATCTAAGTGCCAGCGTGATCAGGGTTACAATCCTCCGAGGAAACACAGCTTGAGCAGATCACAGATTCCGCCCTGCCTCGTTGGCAGGGAACTCATAAGAATGAGAAGAGAAAGAAAAAAAAGAAAACAACAACAACATTCAGAATCTGACCGTTTTAGCTGTAAGATTCATTCTGCGGACGACTACTGTGACCACGGTCTCCTAGACTACCCTGCCCGACATCATTGCAGTAGAGAAAGTATCTTCTTCTTTTTTTCTTTTTTTTTGTTCCCCCGTTCACGTCCGGGCAATATAAAGCTAAACTTTGTTCTTCTTGCCGAGCCTAATGGGACCTCCAAACTGTTCGGGAACGGCCCGTTTTCCCTAATTTCCCAACACTGGTGGAAGTACAAGTTGTTTAACACTGGAAGCATAGTCACATTCACTCGTAAACAAATGGTCCTACTACGAATACCCATCTGGGGCGTTACGAATTGTCCACTAAAGCTGCTGCATTTTGGATGTACTCATCTGGGTGGAAAAGGAAAGGGGGCTGTTGTGGTGACAGCTTACAACAACACACAGACAGGCGTACACACACACACACACACACACACACACACACACACACACACACACACAAATTGTTTCAATGTCGGATTTGCTCATCTTAGTGTGCTTCACTGTCTGCTGTAGAGGTACTTGCCGCAAATTGCTTCAATGTTAGATTTGCTCATCTTAGTGTGCTTCAGTGTCTGCTATAGAAGTCGAGGTGCTTCGGTTTTGGATGATATACTCGTCTGGGTGGAAAAGGGGTTTGTTGTGGGGAGTCACCGGTGACAGCTTACACCACACAGACAGGCGTACTGCAATCAGACTCAACTCTGGACTTGCTCACAACATGCACACTTGAGAACCGATGGCAAAACTGAACTCTTTCAACTCAAAAACAACAATGGACTTGTCTTAAACTCAATCTGAACAACTGCACAACTTGCAGCTATGGCCGCCGAACACTGTCTCTACCACCAGCCTCACTCTCTCCCTCACTGTCTCATGCGTGCACGTACGAGGATCACCCTGAATGTCCCCACTCAGC